TCTCTCTCTCTCTCTCTCTCTCTCTCTCTCTCGCTCTCGCTCTCTCTCTCTTTCTCTGTCTCTCTCCCTCTCTCGCTCTCTCTCTCTCCCTCTCTCCCTCTCTCTCTTTCTCTCGCCATCTCCACCGACCTGAAAAGTCCTGCCATGCTGGGTTTGCGTAGACCGTCAGAATGCCCACACATGTATGCAATCTGTAGTCGGGATTCGCGCGGTGGCGATTACATTGGGTTCAGTCGCCGCGAATGAGCAGTGTCGTGTGATCCAACATGGATTTCTCTCCGTGAGTTCGATGTGTGATAGGGAGTCTATGACGTTCGGGGCCATTTGATCGTGACGTTTGATTGGGCCGTGTGATGAAGGCGGAGATCGCCTCTATGTTGCGCTCTCTCTCTCTCACTATCTCTTTATCTCTCTTTCTGTCTTTTATCTCGTTCGTCTCACTGCGCTTGTCTATGTCGTTCGCACAAAGTTTGCGAACATAACTGACAAGCGCAGACAAACGAACGAGACAGAACCAACAGCGTCGTGTTCCACCACCATCGTCGTCAATTTTCTATCAGTGCCTCTATGCGTTCGTCTTTTTCGTCGACTTGCTTTCGCGAATCTAGTTCCATTGGCGAACACTCGCCCCGATCAGATGGCACACTCACACGTCCACGTGGCAGGTCCTGAACAAGCGTGGGCTCGCTGATGGATGTGGGGCTCTATGTGGCAATAGAATGTTGTCGAATAGAGCCCCACACCCATCAGCGTGGCCACGCATGATCACAACTTGACACGTGGACGTGTGTGCCGTCGTGTTCAACTACCATCTTTGTCCCCGTCGTTCGTTTGTCTTCAGCGCCTCTATTTCGTTCGTCTTATGCGTTGGCCTGTTTCTTTCGCGAACGTACCTCGTGGTTCGTTTGCGGATCTCGTTCCATTCGCGACCACTCGCCCCGATTAGATGGCGTAGTCATACGTCCACGTGTCCGTTCCTTAACAAGCGTGTGCACGCTGATGGATGTGAGGCTCTATGCGGCAACAGAAAGGATGCCAGGCTGCAATATAGCCCCGCACCCATCAGCGTGGCCACGCATGTTCAGGACATGACATGCGGACGTGTGAGTGTGCCATCTGATCGGGGCGAGATGAAGGAGTTTCGGGAGCAAGAATGCATGCGTTTCATTGGCGATCACTCGCACCGATCAGATGGCACACTCAGACGTCCACGTGTCACGTCCTGAACAAGCGTGGCCACGCTGATGGATGCGGGGCTCTATGTGACAAAGGGGCTCTATGCGGCAGCATAATGGATGCGAGGCTCCAATATAGCCCCGCGCCCATCAGCGTTGCCACGCATGTTCAGGACATGACATGCGGAAGTGTGAGTGTGCTATCTGATCGGGGCGAGATGAAGGAGTTTCGGGAGCAAGAATGCATGCGTTTCATTGGCGATCACTCGCACCGATCAGATGACACACTCAGACGTCCACATGTCACGTCCTGAAAAAGCGTGGCCACGCTGATGGATACGGGGCTCTATCTGATCGTCACCACGCATGTTCAGGAGCTGTCACGTGGACATGTGAGTGTGCCATATGATCGGGGCGAGTGGTCACCAATGAAACGGGACCCGCGAATGCAGCCCGAGACTGTTGCGACACGCACTTCGAGATTGTGTCGTCACTTCAGATGTTTACTTGAAGTGTTACTCGCTTGTCGTCAATTTGTTGTCTCTCTCACGAACTGCGATATAAGGATTTCATTCGTATGTTGTTGAACACGAGAACATGGTTTCTCACGAATCGTGTCTCTTCCGGATTGCACATGGACTTTCGTCTTCCGACACGATTCGTGAGAAACCATGTTCTCGTCTTCCTCTCGCCGACACGAACAATTTTTTCTTAAATTTCTTTTGTGCCATTTTATTAACAGGTCACATTGCGAATTCCGAAATGGACAACACCATCCGCAGGATCTGCACATGAAGAGACATAAAGCTAAAAACAGGCTCTCTTGCTGCGCATCCTCTCCTTGTCGACGTCTCTATCGATCTTAGTCTCTCTTCCGGCTCTATCGAAATTAGTCTCCTTGTCGACGTCTCTATCAACGTTTCTTAAATTTCTCCGATCTTTGTATATCGCAGACAGTCGCTCAACCGATCTCAGGTTGGTCCCCCAATCACAGATCAGTAATCCTAAGACTGCTACAATAGATTCGAAGACAAAGGAGGCGAACGTGAATTCAAATCTTTAAACCCTATGAAACCTCGCGTCAGCCGAACGCCGCGAGGAACCCTTCCGCTGACTTGGACACAGGACAGGACACGGAGCGATCAGATGCTCATAGGGTATTGTCGACGGCGACATGTTTGACCAACCAGGAGGACGACAGCCCACCCTGTCCATACCATCTTGTGGTGGCGCAACAACTAACGTATCCGAGCCACCCTTGTTTATTTCGGTTGCATCTGAGTCACAACCCACTAAAACTCAAGGGGCGACCACTAACAGAGGCACCTCGGCGAAGTTCGGATTAATCCGAACCACACTGACGGCAAATTTGGATTTGTCACATGCTCAGAAGGTATTTACGACGCCGCACGTTCCGATAAATGTGAACGACAAATCACACGCTGTCAAAAGACCGTTCCGACTCGGATTATTCCGAAACACACCTCTGGCAGGATAGGGTCCACCCTCTGCTCACAGGTCATTGAGGAAACACGCCGTGCCGGTGTCCTCCTCTTGTGGTCGGCCTAATTCGGATGCATCCAAGTCACAACGTCGGTCTTTCGACTTGGCCCAGTTCAGATGTGTCCAAACTACCACGCTGTCTTCGTCTTCTAGAAAGCTGTCTTGGATTCATGCAACTAAAACGAGTCGAGATGGTTATGTTCGGTGGAAGAACGATGAGCTAGAAACTTGTGTTGCGACTACAGCAAACGTTTCGGTTGTTTGGATTGGGCGAGCAACAACCAACTAAAACTCACGACGACGACGATATCCCACGTGATGACGCACAAATTATATGACACACTACGGCAATTGCGGGGAGTTCCAGTGTGTGGTGGGGCGACAACAAAGCGAAGCGCCTCGGCGAAGTTGGATTAATCCGAACCACACCGGTGGCATTTTCAGATTTACCACATGCGCAGAGGGTATTCACGACGTCGCACGGTCTGATAAACTTGTACGTCGAAAGCACACGGTGTCGGCGCAGCCTGTCGTGGTCGCACGTATCGGGACAGCCTCTGTCAAAATCGGATAAATCCAAGCCAAACCCATCTTAAACACTCAAGGACGAAGACACACCGTGCGAAATTCGGTTGGACCCGACGACAGCTGGGGAATAACGGAAGCTTGGATGGCTGGATGGGCGTCAACAGACCGTGGGGTCCATCCGCCGGTCCCCGTCTCGGATTAATCCGAGCCACATTTGCGAAGTTCATGTTCAACCGAACCGAACCTCCAGCAGGATAGGGTTAACCCAGTGCTCGCAGGTCGGTGACGAAAACACGTGCTGTAGATGACCTCTTGTGGACGACCGTCTCTGGACCGCGCCGTTCGAGCTCGGATGCATCCGAGTCACAACCTTTACCGACTCAGAAGGACAAGAAAACTCGAGTTCGGTTTCGTACGGGCCGGAAGGGGGAGGTCCACACCGCTTTGGAACTCGGATTCATCCGAACTACAACGGTGGACTTTACAATCCACTTGTCGACTTCGGATGACTACGTATTCGTCTTCGTTTGCCGTATCAGCGTTTTAGGGCCTTCTTGCGAGGTGTTGCTTTTCCCGGTGCAGGTGCCTATGCGACATCGGTTTTTCGACTGCGCCTGCTTCGGATGTATCCGATCTATCCCACAGTCTTCGTTTTTGACCATTTATTCTCTTAAGAGCAGTGTGACGAGGATGGCTCTCGAGGCCTCCGATTCATCCGAAACGTGCAGGCTTGTGGACACTGTCGTCTAACTGTGACTAAACTTCGTTCTTTTGGAGTCCGGGTGACCGATAACAGAATACGTGCTGTGGGTCGTGGTTGATGTTGGGACGTGCTGACAGTTCTGAGTGAATGTGGGTTAATTTCCTCCGTGTGTTTCAGGGAATGGCTTCACACGGACGAGGCCGCTCCACTGGTGGTTCCGCCCCGCACGGAGAGGAGTGTCGAGGGACGACGTCGTTACCCGCAAGGGAAACGAGTCGGGGAGTTGGAGGTGGGGAGGAAGAACGACGTGCTCAGAACTTATTGTGCGACTACAGCAAACGCGTCTGGTATTTGGACTAGGCGAGCCAGGATGGCTCCCACCCGTTGCAACCACCGTGCGGGCCGCTCTTGTTCATCGCCGTCCGCGCCGACAGAACGCGTCTCGCAGGGGCCATCGTCCAGTGGGTCGACGATGGCGAACACAATTTTAAGTTTACGTTGAAGAAGCATTACAGAAGTGATGGTTCTGTCGACGACATCGCAAAGGGATGCAAGGTTGCCGGGAGGATGTTCGGCGGGTACGGCCGTCGTGCGATGTCTTTGCCTCACTTTCTCCCGCTAGTGCCGGGGCACGACGAGGCTGTTCACGTCACAGACTTCCTCAAGGTCTGGGCGAAATTTGGTACTTCTGTAAGTGCCGTGGACGTCGGACTTGGAACATCGATCAGTGGTCCTGTTGGGTTCGCAGGAGGAGAGTGCTCAGAAAGGGAGATGGGAAGTCAGGGTGGCCTACCAGCTACGCCTCTTGATCAAGAGGTGGGCATGTCAGACGACTCGGAGGACGACCATCCGCGTGCTCCTTTGAAACCAAGCTTGCATGTATCTCGCCGCCAAGGTTTGCTTGGGGATTCGACGCCACATGGAGGCAGCGATGGCGAACGGTTGCGACAGGGCTCAGAATCGTCGACTCCTCGTGGTCTGGTCGAAAGGATTGGTTCGTTCGTTCGTGGCATGCAGGTGGCCGAGGTTTCGCCTGGAGATCGAGCGGGTGGGCCGCAGGTTCGAGAGGTGCATGGGTCAGATGAGACGACTCGCCGGGCCCGACCAGCGCCGGGGGAACTGCAGACGGAGTTGAGGGAGGAACGAGAAGCAAGTGGGAACGTCGCCGGTGAGGAGGAGGTGTCCGAGCAGGGGCTGTTCCGTGAGAGATCGGCTGAAAAGACTCAGTCGGGAGGCAAGCGCAACTTGCCGGATGAGGAAGAGCGAGAGGGACTATGTGCTCTGAAAAGGGAGAGAAAGGTAGGAGGGAGTGCTCGGACGCCAACAACACGAGAGGGCAGTTCCGTTGAGAAGAGGAAAAGGTTTGGAGGTGGGTATGAAACGCCAAAAGACTCGTCGACACAGCGAAGAACCGGTGAGTCTTTCGGGAAAAGGGCGAAATCATCGAGGGGGAAGAAAGCAATCGAGGGCGACAGCGGGGAAGGGGATGACGACATGGAGATTAACCTCAACGCCTCTAACCTCGACAATGCATTCTTCCGGGAGATGCAGACAGGGGTGCAGAAGGACGTCGTGTTGCACATCCATCCCGAAAGAATATTAGTTATTCCAGACTGGGAAGACTCGTACAACCACCGATCCTTGGACGAGTTCCTCGTTAATACCATCGCGTCAGCTATGACCGACTGCTACGAACGTAAAGACATGAGATACACGAAGCCCATTTTCGTTCTCGCTCCGATCATCGCGCCTCCAGAGAACGGCGAGCCTGTTGTGCGCGTGCTGCCTGCTGACTTCGACAGCTCACACCCGGAGAAATACTGGTATTATCCTGTGTGTGGACAGCATAACGCGAGGGCGATGATGATGGTGAAAGACCATCCCGTGTTTGATTACTACAACTTCTCTTGATGGCCGTTCAGACCGATCTACTTCCCTGACGACGAGTTCGACGGCTATGCCCATGTCAGCTGCGAAGACAACATGAAAGACAAGAAGAATCCACCGCGCTTGCAGGTTTTGTCTATGCGGGACATTCGCAATATCTGGAAAATTAAGGGCAAACTGCGTGTGGTGCTCGGCAATGCCTCGAAGAAACAGGACGAGGTGCGAAAGTGGGTGCGGTTCATGGCGTTGGCAATGAAGAAGACGCCGTACATGCCTGTCTGGAACCTGTCAACGGAAGCAAAAAAAAGAAAGGAATGGGCTGAGAAACTTCGATACTACCTCCCGCTGGCCATGGCAGATGACTCCGTCTTCGCTTTGGGGTTGAAGTTCTATGAGGAGTGGTCGAAAGGCAAACTGCTTCCGACGGTCGGCGTTGGACTGAAAAGCCGCCCACCCATGAGGAAGTGGCCAAGCCAGGACTCTCCACTGTGACTGACAGCCAGGGGCTGAAGAAACACGTCTAGTACATGAAGGTCGACGACCCGTCGTTGAAAAAGGGCAGGGGGAAGCCAAAGAAAGGCGCGGAGGAGAAAACTTTCTACGTCCAAGTTCCAGAGCCGGATGTCCACTGCTGGAAGGAATTGGTGGACTTGACGGACCGCGAGAGGAAAAGGCTGTTGAACGGTGTCTTGAACCTTAACGTCGTGTGGGTTCAAACGAGTAGCAAAAAGTTGGCGGAGCAGGGGAAGTTCAGTGTCAAGGAGATGGTCGACATAATAAAAATGGACCGTATTATGCTGAGGTTGTGGCACTACGTGGAGTTCGAGTACGAGAAAATGGATAAGCGGGAGTGGAATGCCAACTCCACGTTCTTCAGGTCCAAGAAGCAACTGTTCGAAGAGTTCAAGGACAGAGGTCTCGACGACAAGCTTTGGGAGGAGAGCAGGAAATTTTTCACGGACACCACATATGTCAACAAGTGCCCTCAGTTTCTGAGGTGTCAACACGACAACAACATCAAGAGAACGGCGGCCCTCGTCAACGACCAGCATTTCCCGGCGGAGTGGAAGTGTGTCGTCCTTTCGGTGATCACTGGAGATCGCGCCAAAGGCAAAAAAGGCCCTCGGGGCGTTGATGAATGCATCAACATTATGTGGACAAGGACAAGCGCCTTGACGACGCTGGCCAAGTTTAACGTCGACCCATTGACAGCTATAGATCATAAGGATGCGCTGGGAAAACTAGGGCATGAGCTACGCTCCCACAATTGCGTGCTTGACTTATGCGGTGCTGTGGACCGTGCGCAATGGGACTCTGGGGCATTCGCGTCTCCGAGTGAGTTGCTGGGCTTCGTTTGTCAGGACTACTGGACATTGGTGGTATTCGTCCCTTGCCTGTGGAACCTCTCCTTCATGACATGTTTGTCTAAGCTTGGGGCTACCCGATGCTACACGGGTAAGTGGGTTTGGAAGACGGCATCGAAGAAAACGCATTAGTTTGGAAACAGCGTCTGGGAGGAGCCGGATGTGATGCACATCCTTTTCAAAGGCGAGGATCCTCGGCTACTGACTCACTCGGTGTACGAGGGAGCTGTTGCTAAAGACGACGCCGCCACTCTCCGGAGGAAACAGAAAGTGACACCCGCGGATGTGGAGGAGAAGTCTTTCAAGTCTTTGACTTTAGCGGACATCGGAAAACTGACCCAGAGGGGGGCTCTGTACAAGGACGGCGAACGGATTCTGAATCAGTTGTGCAATCAGCTTCTTTTCTTCTGTGGTGTGGCGGATGCCGTGCTTGGGCAAGCCGCACGTGCAGATGGTGTGGAGTCTGCTTCAGCAGGGAAGGCACGTCTTGGCCGTGGATGGGGACACAACGCAGCTCGAATACACCGTGCAGTATGTCACTCATGAAGTGTCGTCCAAGGCTTACCCATGCGATTTCCAGCATGTCGTGGTCGAGCCCGTTTATGACCCGAACAAGGACATGTTCCTCAAGTTGACTCCGAAGAAAAGGCGCCAGGTCTACTCGTTCCTTTACGGCGAACAACCAAGGTTGAGATTTGACCCGCAGTACGTGGTGTGGAAGGAAGTCGCCATTGCGGTCCTCCGGGGCTACCACGGAGCGAGTCGGGCCGGCGCTGTGAGCTTCATTAAGAGGCTGGAATATGTCTTTTTTAACGAGGATGTTGTCGATCCGGCCGACTTCACTTTGGATAAGTACAAGCTGGCATTCGGTGAGGAGGACGACTTCAATATCGAGACTGAGCAGGAGGAGAGCGTTGAGGACAACCTCTTCGATTTGGACGGGCAATTGGCCATCTTCAACGCCCAAGTTTCTGAGTCGCCATCAGTATGCAAACCGGGGACACCTCTCGCTACACCTACCTCGGGCGGTCCCACGCCCGTGTCCTCCTCAGCGCCTGTCAAGAGGGGTGGGTTGTCCTGTCTGAGGAGTTCGCCGGGGGAGCCTATTCGTCTCACACCACAGCCCGAACGTCTTCGACCCGGCCATCCAGTTCCTCCGGACCATCCGCATCTCAAGGCTCCTGCGACTCCCTTCCACATGGGCGACAAACACACCTTCTCCACAGCCGAATATTGGGGCCATGATATCGTGTGGCACCCAGACCATTTCCAGCCAGTCCTTCTCGACGGCGAATGGGCAGTGGCTGTGAGGGACGTAAGTGGAGGGTGGATATATGACGATCGTTGGGGCCTCGAGACATTCAAATCTCGCGCCTACGATGCGGTATTCGAGAGATTAAGTGAGGTCAATCGAGGAAATAAGGACGACCTTGCTCTTCGCGAATACGGGGACACGCTGTTCGAGTTCTTGCAGTCAAATAAATGGTTGGAAGTGTCCTCCGCGTTCTACGCCCTTCCGTCAAGCCCGTCAATTAAGCAAGTAAGTTGGGAGTTGCCTGGGGTCACCCCGCCGGCAGGAGCTGTGAAGCGCAAGTCTCGCGGAAAGGACGACGACGAGGATGGTGAAGGCAGCGGGCAACGAGGTACCGGAAGTGGAAGTGAACAGCGTTCGACAAAACAGCCGTCTCCGGGGCACACAGGCGGCGGAGAGGGGAAGAAGGGCAGCCGGGAGAAAAAGAAGCCTCACAGCGAAGAGAAGACAAAGCATCACAGAGGAGACGGGCAGGGGTCCGATGTCGACCGCGACAAGGACGGTGGGGTTCTGGCGGTAACAGGCAGCACCTCAATGGAGACGGGAAACGACTTGAGGCCTGGGTGTATTACGCGGCCTGGCGAGCAGGACCCTGTGATTAGCTCCACCAACGAAACACAGTTTGTCGATGCGGTTGGCGGGGCGGGTGTCATAAAGCATGGAACATGCTTCGCTTAACTCCAAAAACGGTTGGCGGATTGTCTCGGATCAATCCGAATCTCGGAGACGACCTCATTGTCCGGAACTGAGTGCCTTCCGGGAAACAAGACGACAACATACCACGGGTCCGATAGCGACAAGCTGGAACCGTGTTCCGTTTTGCCTCAAAAGGAATTTCGGATTAATTCGAATCGCGAAGGCCTTGTCATCGAGGGAGCACAGATGTCTACAGAACTCGAACGGGTGGTCCGGGTTTCCGAAAACCCTGGTGACGAAATTCGGATTCATCCGAACCAGGAAGCCGTGTCTGCCATGACAGACGATCGGTGTCAGGATGCTGTAATGCTGTGCGTGGAAGCCCACAAGGATCTGCAGGCGGACTGCCGGACTGAGGGTGAGTTGGCGACCAGTTCCAATGTCGAGCCCAACACACTCGGAGCTGAGTTAGCAGTCATTAGCGACTCTCCGGTGAAAGCGGTCATGTCGGCGTCATTGGAAACAGCGGGGGCTCGGATGAATCCGAACCAGGGCCCTGTGAACATCTCCCTCCCTGATGCATCTTTGGAGACGACCGTGATTCGGATTCATCCGAGTCACACGGACGAAGGACTTCAACTAGCAGGCGTTGAGGGTTGTCGACTACTGATGATTTTGGACAAGGACAATTCCGCCGGCGACTGGTTTGATCCGACACTCAGCGACGTCGGGATGGAGCTACCAGTTCAGCCGGGATATGACGATCCCTTGTACTCCGCCCTTCACATCGAGGCGATGGGGGAGGACGTTTTGAAGAAGGCCTCTAACGCTGTTGGAGATAGATTTCTCTATTTGAGTGGCGATGACAAAAACACAGCGTACAGGGACAAGAAGTTAAGGGGGGGAGAGGTGTTGTTGGACATCCATGGGACATTGAGCCCAACACAATACGACACAGTGGCAATGGAGAAAACACAACGTGTCCATGTTGTGGACGTCGACGATCTTTGTCCAGAGACGAATATACCGTCTACGGTCATCGACGCCGACATCTCGAGCCTGTCAAGTTTCCATGTGGGTTTGGAGCACGTCGTCGCCACGTCGACGCGCGCAGGGGTGCCAATCGTGTTGGGACTGCCGTCGGTGGGCTCTGGTGAAGTGGTAGCTAGGCCTGGTAAGCACTGACTTTCTTTGCTTTCTTCCCGCTCGTCAGCCCGTTCGTGAAGTGTTGTTTGCTTCGTCAATTTCGGGGAGGTGTATAGATGGCCGCCAACTCGATTGTGACGATGTGCTTCATGAGGTGCTGTTTGCTTGGTTGCTTTTGCGAACTTGTGTTTTTGATCTCCTGCTGAACTGTCTGGGTGGCTATTTCTTGTACAGGTCGACGAACTCGTGGACAAACACCCATGTCGCAGGAGCCGCCTGCCCTCGCCAGGTTGTCAGTCCTGGTTGCGGGAGGCACTGGTCGTCGCAATGTCACTGGTGCGTTTTCTGGGGACATAGCCTCGAGGCCCTCCCAGAAGGATAGTCGTGTCCGTATTGGGCTCCCACGCAAGACTCGTTGCAGAGGCAGCGGGTGTTGTCGAAAAAGACTGCAAGGAATTCCTTCTCGAGGCTTGCAGGGATATAAACGACAGTGCCAGTTTAGAATCAACTGTGTGTAGAAGGTCCAGAAGTAGGGGTGACGTTATGCGTGAACTTTTCGGACCATAGAGTAGCGGTTCCTCGGACCATGGCCGCTAGGACGACATTTTCTCATAGTGCCCCGTCCTTTGTGCTTGCTGTGTGGTGCGGGTGTTTGTTGAACAGGGTTTCCTCGAGATGGAAGAGCGGTCCTTGAAGACGTTATCTGCTCTCGGTTGCCGCTCACTATCATCGTCGCGCGTTTGCCGTCGCACAGTTTACAAGTATCCGTCAAGGACATCGTCGCACTCGTGGAGAGATCCGGGGAGCTCAACGATGAGGTTGTCAATTTCTACATGGCGATGCTGTTGGACGACTGCGGCCGGACTGCCGCTACCATGAAGACATACACCTTTAACTCCTTCTTCGCCTCTTCACTGCTTCTGCGAGGTCCGGCAGCTGTTCTCAGATGGGCTAAAGATGTCGACCTCCTGTCTCATGACCTCGTCTTGGCACCAGTGCACAAGAACGGCGAACACTGGAGCCTTTTGGCGATTGACTTCTCTAGACGTGTTTTGTAAATCTATGATTCTTTCTCGTGTTCGTCATCCAAAGATTCCTTCTACTCCGCACTTCTGGATAAAACTGTTAAATTTTTTAACACGGTGCCTGGTGCCGCCGGTGATGGTCGCACCTTCGACCACTTCGCTCGAGAGGTCAACGTGAAAGGTGTCCCTCGGCAGCACGACGGGGCTAGTTGTGGGGTGTTCATGTTGATGTTCGCTTCCTGTTTAGCGAGAGGTTTACGTCTACCTTTTGGTTTCTCCCATAGACACATCTCCTCTATCAGAGCTAGACAAGCTTTGGCGATTTGTAATGTTGGTAGGTAAGCGTCTATCTCTTTGTTGATCATGTAGTGTAGAAGGGTTGACGTAGAAGAACATTTCGTTCTTCTCCAGACGAAATTTGTTCCTTTTCATTTCTTTCGTGAGGGACTGTGTGGTGTTCTCGGTTTGGTTCAGAGCAGAACTGGCTGTCACTGCTAGGAAATCTTCGGGTGAACTTGTCATGTTCTCGGCGTGTTTGTCGTCGACAATATTGTTCTTTCTCATTAGATTTCAATTATCACGAACGTCCCCGTTGTTGGGGCGCCTATTTCGTGATTGAATATCTCGCTTTCGTCATTTTGTGCCTTGTGTGGTGTAATGTTCTGCCCGCATACTCGGATGCATTCAGACTCGAACTAACTCTATGCTTTTCTGCCTCTCTCCCGAACCTCCCCCGTCGTCTACACTCATCTATGCATTTTCACTTTGAATGTTGTGAGGCGTCACAGAGAACAAAATACAACACATGGGCCTCTTTATACAGTTGATGGCCCGTCTGACCCTCCGCACTATGTGCTTTGTGATTCCGACATTGAATGTTGTTAATTCCTTGGCCCGGCAAAGCTCCCCTTCTGCACGAGCATTCATACATTCGGTTCCTATGCATTACCCAATACAATGAAAAATTTGAATGTGCCGAGAGGGAAAACCCAAAAGGCGACGCCAATGGCTGCTCGAATGTGACGAGATTTGAATTAAGGTGACGCGGCTGAAAATACAATTGCATGGTTGGACAAAATTGGATGTGGTGACGGAAGGATAAATCACAAGGCGAAGCCGATTGATACTACAAAGTGACACAAACTGAATTGAGTTGGCACTCATGAACAAATGACCATTGTATGATTGGTGATCGCCTCAATTTCCAAAAAACGAATTCAAGAATCAGCTCTCTCTCTCTCTCTCTCTCTCTCTCTCTCTCTCTCTCTCTCTCTCTCTCTC